AGAAGCACTTCGAGAGGAGTTGGTGGTTGCCTGGAATGAGATACCACAGGAGGACATTGACCACCTGATCAGAAGTACTTATACATACTTATACAAAATTTTATTAAAATAAAACCATTTAAACTGGGTGTTCGGATTTATATGTCACTTAGTATATATATATATATATATACAACGTGTTTATTTGAAAACTTCCCACCATGGATTTATCGAAAACCACTGATTAAGAAAGAACGCCGAGACACGACAAAAGATTTGTCAAGAGGGAAAACTTTTTAAACAAAAACTACTTCACCCTCGGTCCCCCAAGGTCACCCTTAAAAATGTTAACTGACAAGTGGTATCGAGTGATAGCTTGTTTGATAGGTCTTTCGACGTCCCTTATTTTGACATTTGATTTTTTAAAATCAGTCGATTCGCTTTCGAGAAAATTAGAAAAAAAATTATTCATCTTAATTTGTTCAAATAGAAAACAAAAACACGAAAATATCCCTTCTTCAATTCAATAAGTGTTCTAAATGTTAACGGGCAACATTTGTTTGCCAAATCTACAATTCGTTTATAATTTAAGACGGAAGCTACCAACATAAACAGCAATTCGGAAGATTAGACGTGGCAACAACCAAATAACAACCCAAATTTGTTTTCCGCATTCTTTTCATCAATACAGATATCCTGGGCCAACTAGATTTATTGTGATACCTGTTTTGTTATTTGTTGCTAAGCGAAAGAAAGAATTTAATTTGCTGTCAGTTACCTTTGTGACAATCTTGAGATAGAGAAAATTAATTTATTGATTCATATTTTACTTCCAAAGTGGTTTACACACTAGCTGAAAGAGTAAAAATGATTCTAATACATGGTACCCAAAATCAATGTCAATGTGCTCGGCAAACTGTCGTCACGTTTAACGCCAGACATCCGGGAAAGATAAGTTCGTATAGGTATGTTTTGGACATTGTTACTAAATTTACTCAAACTGGATCTGTTGCAAATAAAAATCTTGATCATCGGAGAGTTTTGGATGGAGTTGTTTGAGTTGAAGTTTACAGTTACGAAACTCCATAAATTTCATGCATTCAAAATGAAAATATTTCAAGAGTCAACCGAAGATTATTTCGATAGGCGGGTCGAGTTTTGTGAACAAATGACTGCAGCGATTAATAATAATGTAAAGAAGATCAGCTTCAGTGATGAATGCACATTTTATCTGAATGGATTTGTTAATTAGCATAACTGCAGGTATTGGAGCAATGAAAATCATCATGCTTTTGCAGAAAGGCATTCCCAATACCCCCAAAAACTTAATGTATGGGCAGGCATTTTAGGGAACAAAGTGATTGGCCATTGTTTATTAATGAGAATTTGAATCGAGACATTTATTTGGGTGTTGGAAAACACCATCAATCCGCTTATCACTAAAACCATTGAAAACCAAACTGGAGAGGATGGAAATCCTATACTTGATGAGGCTGGAATAATATTTCCAGCAAGACGGCGCTTCACCTCACTATGTTCTTCCGGTTCGTCAATGGCTAGACGACGAGTTTCCAGATAAATGAAGAGGGCGTATAGAATGGCCTGCTAGATCTCCTGATTTGACGCCATCAGACTTTTTTCTTGGGGTCATTTGAAATCTGTGTGTACTCCCCAACGCATGATATCCCAGAACATGTTTTTGAACATGTCGGTCAAGAATTTGAACATCGCCTACATCATTGTTTGGCCAATAACGGGCAACACTTTGAACGCTTATTGAAATGAAAAGTGATATCTTCGTGTGTTTTTGTTTTCTATCTGAACAAATAGAGATGAAGATTTTTTCAAGTTTCTTGAAAACGAATCGACCGATTTTAAAAAATCAAACGACAAAATAAAGGAAAGAACTTTCAAATAAGCTATTACTCTATACCCCTTGCTATTTAATTTTTTTAAGGGGATGGCCCTGATGGGCAGATGGTGAAGTAGTTTTTGGTTAAAAGGTTTTCCTCCTTAACAAATCTTTTGACATGTCTCGGCGTTTTTTCTTTTAATCCGTAGTGGGAAGTTTTCAAATAAAAACCCTGTACCTATGGTTATGTCGAGCAGAAATAAGCACCTTTACACCTTTCGTATTGAACGTCCTCTTCTGTTAACACTATATAAACTGGATATGAAGAATAACACAATCAGGATAGAAAAACAGTATAATTTATTATTCGATATAAAACATGTTTAAAAAATCCTAGAGTACAAATGAGCAAAAATAATATAGATAACATTTTATTCTCATGAAAATTTAAACTACAGGCATTTCGTATAAAATAAAAATCAGTCATTATTAATGTAATTTATAAATTCATAAGCGATTGTTAATTTTTTACACTATACAATTAGAATTTTCCAATTTACACCAAGAATATTCAAGAAATAATATACAATGTTAAAACTATATTAATTATGTTACAATAAATATGCGTGACAAGTTAGGAAAACAGCAGGAATTTGAAGTTCAGATATGAATAAGGCACATAGATTAATCCAATCTCCTTAAGCAAGTGTCAGTGATTTTCCGACCTCCTGTTTGTTGACAATTTCGTAGAGGCTGGCCTGTAGAACGAAATTGAAGATTATATATATATATATATATATATATATATATATATATAATAGAATAAATTGCCATGCAAAGAAAAACGTGGCAGGGACTCGCAGAAATTGCACAAAAAATGAGGAGATAATACAAAGTGAATAAAGTAAAATTGGTGGATCGATATTAGTAGTATCTATAAGTATTACACCATTCTACTAATTGTTTTTGCCCCTCTTAACGGATTTGTGTGTTTTGTTTTCAAGAAAGGAACATAAACATACACAAACAATAAAATTAGCCCAGTGAAACTATGCAGCATAATAAAAATATTGTACATGTTTACAAGTGCTGCAAGTGTCAAGTTATGTTTGCATTGTGTGCAACATCTTCTATAAAAGTTGTTGCGAACGAAAAAGAGAAATTACTTTTATTGACCAGCACAAAATTTACAGTAGTTAAAACTGTGCGCAAAAGTCGTATGAAAAAGAAGAAGAGTTAGAGCCTGCTAAGGAGGCCGAGCAAGCTATTGCAGATAGAGACAAATTTATCAACTCTCTTAAAAAGAAAAACCTTTCTTTCGAAGACGATGTGATAGATATGGAATTAAGCTACACTTCTGAATTGGAAAATAACAAATCGGTCATCAATAAGCTGGAACAAAAACTTGATGACAAAGCAAAACGCATTAATTATTTGGAAAAAATTGTAGACATTTCGAAAACCAATGAGAAATTGCTATCCGAAAAAAGAATCTAAGGACACAGTTAAACCAAAAAACAATAGAGAAAGGATAGATGGAAATTCTATAGCTGCTCATAATAAAAGTGAATGTGAAGTAACGTCAATAAGTAACAAAAAAGGAGTAACTGCTGGACATACCTAATAAGGAACATTCTCATAGTAACAAAACAGAATTATTGCAAGAAAATATACCCAAATCAATAATTTTGGTTGATGATGGCGGAAACAGTTCTCAGAAAGATCAAAACATGACTTTTTTGGAAGTATCTGTGATAGCGATTCCGGAAGAGGCAGTAACGACAAGCTGCACCAGAAATATGAAGAAAACTGTAGTGATTTTTGGTGATGAAGTGGCTGTTAATGTTGAAGCATCGCTGACCCCTTATCTAGATGCATACAATTTTTCAGCCTCAGGTACTGTAAAACCACTAATTGATCTCTTTGAGTTAAGCAAGTTAATGCAACTAAATGCTTCAAATATCATCATCAATAGATGAAGAAAAATATATTAATGAACAGTACCCGCACCGAAACCATACAACTTTCCAGGAATGAGTTTTTTTCATAGCCAAGGAACAATTATCTAGATGCAAAAATAGTAATAAGATTATTTTGACGCACCAGAATGTTCAATGCAGTTTCAAATAAACTATTAAATTTAGAAATATTTTTGAGTGATTACAACTGTGATATTTTTTGTTTCTGAACATTGGTCTAAGGAGGCTCAGCACAATTCCTTGCAATTGAATAATTATACGTTGGCAAATGTTTATTGAATGACTCATTACCAGCATGCAGGTGTAGGAATTTATGTTAATAATGTATTATCGGAATATAGGCAGCTAAATAATATCAATAATATTATTCAATTTAATCAAATCCTCAAAGAGGAAAACTGGGTATCCACTGATGGTGACATACATGAAAAATATAATGTATTTCAAATCTGTGCTGTCGGCTTGACCCGTAATGGGATTATACTCGCGATCTTGTCCCATAACCGTCGATCTTTTCCCTCAAATGTCGGACGTCAGGGACGTTGGCCCACTTTCTTGGGACGTTGGCCCACTTTCTTGAGACGTCGCCTCAATCTCCGAGCCATTGTGCAAATTGTCCAAGCCTGCGGCTCCAGCCGAGGGTTCGATTCCCGAACTGTCGTCGGTTTTAATCGACGGCTCCGCTGATGAGCCGCCGCACTTGTGCCTAACCCTGAATCGGGCAAACCTATAACGATGTACACTGCCATTCTATGGTCTGTACGTTAATATGAAACTTTTACCTTGCAGATGATATCACCAGTAGCTGTGGATACGCTCCGGAATCTGTTCGACAAGCAAGCAGAATCAACGAGTGTGATAGACATAGTACGAGCAGTCAAGCCTACAATCTCATGCCTTTCAGAAAAAGCATATCAGATCAGAATGCTGAACTGGCGATTTTGTCTGGGCCTTATGACGGCACCATCATCTCTAGCCGCAAAGATAAGAGGCTCGTTAGCACAGAACGAACTAGTTCTGGCAGCTCTAGCAGTTATGAAACATTTAATGATTTCAAGGAAAGAAGCCTCATCACTTCTATCTGAGGATCTTTCGGATCAAGCAAGCAGCTCTAGTGAGCAGGTAGCAAATCGCTGAAAGAAAGTAAGCAGATTTAAAAAATTATAAAAAGTCACGAAGAACTGAAAGACATGCTAAATTCAATAATAAAAAGACTGGAACCTCCAGAAACAGCCTCAGAAATATCCATAATGGGAGATGCAACGCCAGTAGACTCCGATAGATATTCGGAACATACAGACCCAGAAGATGAAGTCCCTTGGTCGGCTCCAGACATCCACCAGGAGGATTACATGTGCGTGAACTTTACTCCCATTACGAAGGAACAAGAACCAGCTATTCCACCCCCGAAACCACATATACTGTTACAGGGCAAGGAATGTCAAAGACTTGGACTCGCCACCTTCAACAAAATCAGATACTTAGAGGTACAGAAAAAACTGCAAGGTTTTCTCAGCTTTGCGAGTTAACCTACAACTTCTCCATCAAGCTAGCGCATTGCAGAATTTCCATGCTAAAATGGATTCTTGCCTAGGAACTATTTTTCACGGATTACTTCTCCAAAGAGATGCCTTTACGAACTCTATTAAAACCATAACGGCCAATCACCCGTCAGCTAGGGATGACATCCAGAAACTATTGAACAAAGGCGAAAATCTTTTAAGCCAAAATATGATGTGGTTGCTTCATTTTCAATGAAACACAGTTTGAAGATTTTTACAAAATACATGGTCGGTTTTTTCGTCCCAGCGCGCAAGGCCTTACTCATTTTGCCACGGGATACAACAGGAATGCCCGTTACAGTGGACAGCCATCAGATTTTAGACAAACTGGATCTCGTGAAAGAAAGACACAGCAACCAACAAATTCCCGCAGTTCCACGAAAACCACCCCGAAAACTTACAGAAAGCGTCTTCAAACAACAGAACGTTATAACCCATCCAAGAAAACTACTTCATCAAACCGTACGAGACGGCAATGACAATCCTTTTCAAGGGGGATGCTTTTCAGATTACGTCGAATTCTGGGAAGAGATGAAAGCTCCACAAAATATACTAAATACAAACTACCCTTCGTCAAACGCCTACCATTAACAAGATTCAAAAATGGGCATCTAACAAAATTTTCTACAATGGGCATGAAGGCAGAAGTAGAAGCAATGATAAAACAGAGCATCCTAGAGAAATCGAATTCGTCGACCGGTTTCGTATCCAAAATGTTCCCTCGGCAGATACCAGATTGGAAGATCCGACCGATTCTCAATTTAAAACGTTTGAACCAGTACCTGCAAATTTCAAAATTCCGCCTAATCAGCCATCTAAGGGTACCGGATTTCTTGCAAGAAAAGGATTTCATGGTAAAGCTAGATCTGCATCAGGCGTATTTCCACATTCCCATTTACTCCAATCACGTCGCTTTCTTTCAGTGGTGCACAAGGAAACTGTCTATCAGATGACATACTCCCATTCGGTCTGGCTTCGGCACCACTTACTTTCGCAAAAATATCAAACTGGTTAGCGAACCAACTGCGAAATATGGGAATAAGAGTCATCGTTTACTTGGGCGATTTTCTATTATCAAACCAATGCCAGGAAACACTAACTAGGCAAGTGCAAAGCCCAAAGCAGCGGATGGAATATCTAGGAATCATATGGGACACCAAAAAGGGCACCACCTCGCTTCCTCTACGAAAACGCAGGTCTCTAGAGCAAGACATCAGGGCCATCTTGAAAAATCGTCAGTGGAATTGGATAAAGGCAAAAATACGCTACACCAAATTTTGCCTGCAGTGCGATACCACTAGGACGGCTGCACACCAGACACTCGCAGAGGGCCAGCTTGCTCCTGTCCGAGTGCTCGCGAAAAAAAATCCAGTTCCACCATCTGCTCTGACGGAATGCAGCTGGCTAATGAACCTGAAATACAAAACGGCAATGTTTCGGAAAGCCCCCACAGTTTTTATCACAACGGATGCATCCAATTCAGGCTGGGGGCGCAGATAAATCATATGCTGATCAGAAAAACGTGGATGAATCACCAAAAACCCTGGCACATCAACAGGAAGGAATTATATGCGGTATGGGCGACTCTCCGATTTTCTCAGAGCAAGCTAAAGAACCGATCAGTCATGATACAGTCAGACAATAGAACGGTGGTTTCATATATTCGGAATCAAGGTGGAACCAAATCCCTTCAGATGCTGGACCTCACACATCAAATCCTAACCTTGGCCAACCAATTAGAAATGGATATTCAGGTGTGATACATTCCGGGCGTATTTTCACGTCAAAAACCTCTCCCAGACTGGCACTTATCACGGAAAGTCACACTCATGATTTTCAAGAAATGGGGCACGCCCACGATACATTTGTTTGCGACAAATCGATCGCGGGTTGTGCCAGCCTATGCTGCAAGGAATGTCAAAGATCAGCAAGTAACCTTCACGAATGCCTTCAGCAGGCAGTGGAACTTTCAATTAGCATGAATACTTCCTCCTCCATGCTTGATTCCACGAGTGCTGCGACATCTCAATCACGCTTCAGGAACGTACATCGTCATAGCGCCGAGATGGGAAAAAGTTTTCTGAAGGGCAGATCTAAAAGCGCGAGCGTTAGCCCCTCCCCTTCACATACGGAATCTGCACCATCATCTAATAGACTTGTCGACGAATCAACCACTCTCCCAAAGCCGCTCACTAAGATTGGAAGCCTGGAAAATACGGAGTGGGCTAGGGCCCTAACTCACTGGAAAGAAGACGTCCAACTGTTTACTAGCTCTTGGAAAAAATCATCGTTGAAAACATATTCAGCACCATGGAAGGAATGGCTAGCATGGTGTTCTAGAAATAACATCATTCCACAAGACCTCTCTCCAGACCATCTAGCACATTACCTGGGATATTTACACATGGAGAAGAAACTCGCCCTCTCAACAATAAAGCTCTAAAGATCCGTTGTAACGGTGTTTACCAACCCTGTGGGCTCGGAAAGCCTTGCTGGAAATCCCATAGTAAGGCACATGCTTAAGGCGATCGATCTGTCAAGGCCTCCCGCCACTAACAGGAAACAGAAGTTGGAAGACAACAAACTTCTATCATGGTTGTAAGCCAATGATGTCGATAGAGGTAGCATATTTCAAGTATCTCGTCACTTGTCTATAATCCTCTTACTAGCTAAGTCGACGAATACTCCATGGAGTTAAAGGATGCCACCGTTATAATCTGGCCAGAATTCGGCTCAAAGACGGACAAGTGCCTGTATCGCGAATCAGGATGGTTCATGAAACTGTGCTCCAAGACACAACATGATCCGGTATGGATACATCGGATGGTTACATCCACTCGCCGTAAAGCCAAAGACGGGCTTACCAACTTATTCATAACGACCAGACGTCAATCAAGTGAAACCCGGATCCCGCACTGTGATAGCGGGATGGATTAAAACAGTATTTAGCGAGGCGGGAATCTCATTTCCACCTGGCAGCATCAGATCAGCAGTGGCATCGGCAAGATTTGAAAACAACGTCCCATTGGACATCATTCTGAAGAAGGGCAACTGGCAAGGAAGCCGAAACTTCTACAAGTATTTCTATAAGGAAATTCAAAAACCTTCAGTACGAGAAACATAGACTGATTTAATACAAAGTTCCTTCTCAGTTGGGTGATAGGCTTATGCTGTAAATGATAAGGTAGATAGAATTACATTTATTTTTCTATTACATATTCTTGTTATGAATCAGAGTATCACTTTTAAGTTTTGTTATATGTGCCAGAATAAAAGGTTTATTTACATTACGCACAAACTGAGTATTAATTTTTTTTCTTGCTCTCAGTACGCTTTTTTACGTCGTCAGGTATGCAAACACTTCTCATTAAGGGTCAAGCCGACGGCACAGATCTGAAATATACATCGTTTTTCCCCAGAATGGAATAAAAACGATTATTTCAGCTCTTGGCTAGGCTTGACCCAATTAGGTCCTGACGACTTAATAGAAGGTACTGAGGAACACACACTTGAGCAGCTCAAATGCGCCGAAAGGCTCGGCGCAACGTTGCCAAGTGTGTCCTGACTTCCGACATTTGAGGGAAAAGCGCGACGGTTATGGGACAAGATCGTTGGGGTAATCCCATTAAGGGTCAAGCCTAGACAGGAGCTGAAATAATTGTTTTTATTCCATAAAACCAGAAAGTATTATATGTACAAGAGCATATACAGAAAACTTTTAACGGCGCAAAACAATTATGAAGAAAGCAAGTTTCTTGGGATATTTATAGACTTGAGTAAATCTTTTGACCTAGCAGATCACAAATTGGTTCAAAAGCTACTTGGCCAATAGACAGCAATATATTCAACTAAACCATAGTCAGTCCAATCTACTGAGCTACACAATTGGTGTACCACAAGGAACAATATTGGGTCCACTGTTCTATACCATTTTTACGAATGATTTCAACAGCACTTGCTATGTTATGTATGCCAATGACACACCCATCCTGATCAAATCTCCCACTGTCTCTGGTCTAATAAGACATGCCAGTGATGAGTTTGAAAGGGTACATGGCTGGTTCAGGTTTCGTATTGAACAGGGATGAATCACAGTTTTTGCGCTTTTCCTGTTTGAAAAACTATGACAACAGCCTTCTGATAAAATGGAGGATAGGGGTCTATCAAACAAGAGAATGATGTAAAATTCCTTGGCATACATTTAACAAATAACTTCAGATGGGAACTGCATATAGACGATATATGCAAGAAACTACTACCTCTTGTTTATTGTATAAACCAGCTGAAATATGTTGAGGATAGCTCCGTGATCATTGTACTGTGTATTACTACTCTTACGTTCAGAGCACCATTTCCTATGGAATAACTATCTGAGGTGCTTCCAGTTACATAAGGTTAAAGATACTAACCCTGCATTGCCTCTACATATTTCAACTTTTACTATATGTCAAGAATAACTACAATAGCTTTGATGTACTCAATGCACATAGCTGCTACAATACACGGAATTCCTCAATCTGACAAATTCCGATACGTAGGCTATCAATAACTGAGATCAGCCCCAAGTACGTGGGAATAAAGGTATTTAATAAACTACCAAATTGCATAAGAAAATCAAATTCCCATGAATTTAAACGAACTCTCAAACAGTTACTCCTTACTAAAGCTTATTACTCAGTCAACGAGTACCTCTGTGATAATACAATTTAGTTCCATTTTAACGTTTTATTATTTTATGTATTGATTCTTTTAATTGAAATTTTATAAATGATGTTATTATATATTTTCCGTGACCAAGTACATATTGTATTGTGCTATTTACATTTCTAAATGTATTTATATTTGTTTAGTTTATCTTAAATCTCATGGGTCAACTTTTTGTATATTTATATTACTTTTATACTTTTATTTGTATACTGCAAGTTATGTGACCCTGTACATATTTTGTACTCTTCAATGTAAATGTTTACGCATATCTTGCAACCCGTGACACATTATTAAGAGAGACTCCTCGTTTTTGCTCAAGCCGTTTACAGCGCTTCTTTCGTTTTTCCCTCACGTCTACGATGACTTGGCTGTGGTATTTTTAGCCACCCATTTTCGTTTTGTTAAGCACTCCTCGCGCGTGTCAGGGGTTTAATTTTTTAATTTAGATCTTAGTTCTATTATTTTTTGTTTTATGAGACAATGGCATTTTGAATTGTAATGATAAAATCTAGAATTTGAATTCATCTATGTAAATTTTTTAAGCAGCAGTCATCGCTCTATTACTTATGAATTCCTTAAAAATCCTAATTTAGCAAGTCAAAATCCATCCAGCCATTCAAGCTGCATTCTGTAAAACAAATTTTAGTGTTGAAATTTTCGATTAAAATTCATTATTTTGGTTCTATAAAATCAATATACCCATTATTCAGTGTCACTTGCACTGCTAAGACGAATATAACAATACCTCATATATCAAAATCCATCAAGCCGGCCGGAAATTAGCCTGTGGAATAGAATATTTTGTCACCATACATACATGTTATAGCATTGATGCTACACAAATATTTTTCAAAACTTTATTTGACAAACTCCGCCGAGTCCCGTTACTTGATTACAAACTTAGTTACAAACAGTAAATTTGCTATGCGTACATTACGGTGTCGTGCCGGATTATGAACAATAGAACAGGTTTTTGGACCTATTTATACTCTAGGTTATGCTTACAAAGCATCTAGGCTCAGGCACACATGGCTTTCTGCTGAAGACACATTGTATGCGTGAAATGAACATAAGGTAAACAGGAAATTGTTATTAGTGCCGAGTAAGTATGATGCCATATTGTATTACATTGTATATGACAAAAGGTCATACATATAGTTAATTTCACGGTTTTTGGCGGGTCACACTAAAACTACCAGCATCCGATTTATTCCTCTATCTCCTCACACATACGTATGCAAACTGACTATGCGCGGACGTTTGTGCAAGCTCACACATACGTTTTTTAGTTTCGTCTCGCCACCTTGAACATTTTCTCGCCAACGTATGAGTATTCTTAGTTTATGCTTGTCACTGTCAGTGTGACAACCCACTTGTCATGAGCGTATCATTTCGAGTTTCCTTTTATTCATCTTCCTAATTCATATAAAATGCAGCCAAATGTACCTGAAAATTAAACTAACGAAAAATATCGATAGGTTTTGCCAGACGTGAGTGAATTCATGTGTGGAAAAGCAGATGCGTTTAAGACCAGTTTGCCCAGTGTGCAATTTTCCTATGGAGCTTCAGTTGCGCACTTGGTCCAGTTAGTCGATTTGCTTACTTATTTCGTATGACATTGATTACGTAACGCGCGAAAGACATACCCCTCCTTCTAAGGCAGTCGAAAATCTTTGGCGTAATTTTCTATTTCATTGTGTAGGAAGGCGGCTATGAGCAACATATCTACAAAATTATAACTCAGTACCTTAATCCACACTCCAAAGACATTTTTCTCAGTTTTGAAATTATAATGTCACCATCCTGTATCTCGATAAGAGGGAATTTTAGATCCCATACTTTCATAACATTTGGCTCCAGTTTCTGCCCTGAAAACATTTGCACTAGTTTTTTAATCACCCTGTATACATGCTTCTATATATGTCGCTTTTGCAAATCATTGAGTATTTATGGTGGTTGACGTAAAACTAGACTATGGTATATAATCACCTGATGCCAATTATATCACGTGGCTTTTGCGAAGCATAACCTGATATTTGCTTGTTAAACATGGTATTATTACCACTGATTCAGTCCTTTTAAAGGTTTTTAGCTACCCTACAATGAATTTCCTAGCTTACATTAAAGCCATTTTCCATAAGATCAATGGGCTCCTCTTGAAAGTTTCTTATTAAGTTTTTAATCACCAGCACAAACTTCAAAAAACGGCTACAAAGTTGAATCTAATGTATCTAAACGAAAAAAACTAAAAAATTACCTTATGCCACTAACTCGGGGTCCGGGTATTCTAGATGCGGGTCTAGGTATACCGGTGGGTCTGGGTAAACCACTAGCTTTAGGGATTTGGGGCATTGCAAAGGTATGATCACCAATTACGGGTTTGACTTTAGCAATTGTGGGTACCTACGGAAATAAAATAAAGACTAAATATAATACATAATACTAAAAAGGGCATATGACTGAATATACAGTTTTCTATATGAGTAATCTTTGTCCAATATCAAATGGGACCTAAGAAAACAATATTTTAATCGCATAATGATTCAAAAGAGATATTTATGGAAAGCCCAAATTGATAACAGTATTAAAACAAAACTATTATTCTCAAAAACGGCTCATTATATCGAATTCAAACGAATGTACAATTTTTCAGCTGAAGAATTGGGCTTTCCAAAAATAGTAATTCCGCTTTGAGCTAGTTCCTTCCTAGTGATCTACTTGAGTTAATTGTTTTTTATGAACACCATCGTTAAGTGTTACGACGATGTATCGTTAAATTATGCAAAAGTCATTTATAACAAAATAATTTCTAGTGGTGTCCTTTAGAGACCCCCATCTCGAAAACAAAACAGTATTTCGACAATCGTCAGCAGAAAAAATAGCCTCAGAATGGTTCAAATAATCACCCCAAACATGTTTGCCCCATGTTTTGAGATTGGCAATAAATGTCAATTATCAACTTCAAAACTTTTCTTTGTGATCTTGTGCTTTGAAAAAGCCGTGTCTGGTGAAACGTCAGTAGGTTAGAATTCATCATGTATGTGGATACTTGCGCTTGCACATATTTATTCTGCCGGTTAAATCACCTTAATAATTCACCATGTGAAATGAATCCACATATGTAGGCTCTTACAAACGTTTGCCCACCTCGGTAACCGTTTTCAAAGTACAGACAAAAAAAGTAGTAGTGACAATATTGCAACAACAGCCTGATCGATCCTGCACCATGCCAAAATCGCGCGAAACTATCAGTACAATTATTTTAAAATGGCACCGGGCAAAAAAGGACAGCCAGGGGTGGGCATTCCCGCTCTTAAAACTCTCTTCACAGCGACAAGCGAGAATGGGGTTATTTGTCAGACTATCGGGAGCGTTCTCGACTTGGATGTGTTTGCACGGACCATTTTAAAATAACCTGTATACGATTTTTCGAATTAGCGCATCAGCAGCACGAGTATGTTAAGTAAACAATAACTTGAAAGGAAAAATTGGCGCAGGCGGGATTCGAAACCGCATGCTGGCGACACACTTTTTTCGATCTATCCCACTCTTTATTGAAATCATTCACTTTTCTCACTATTTTCGCTCTCGTACATATTGTAGCTTATGAACGTTTTCGAAGGAGTTGTTCCCCTTCTCTCAATCCCCACGAAATTAGATGAAGTAATTTTTTTTAAAAATCAACTATGACAAACTTCTTCATATACAGGGTTCTCCCCAAGCTGAGCCATTATGTGATATGAGAAATTACTAGGAATAGTTGAAATCTACGTTGAATTTTAAATCAGCTTTGCTAAACGCACTCCATATTTATACACTACGGATTTCAAATTCGGAAATGGTAAGCAATACAATGCAAAATCGTTTATGAAGACGCGCATTTAGGTAACTAATAAAATGTTACTTAGATAGTTTGGCAATTCAGAGAGACAGAAAATACGAATTTACCCTGAACCACTTTCATTTTTCTCTTGGCTTAATTTTTGCTGGAATTTCAATATAAATTGCATTAACAGTGGCACTTTTTACAAGCTCTGTACAAGTAACTGTTAGTACGTTAGTCCGTTAGTATGCATGTGTTGGACAAATCGTGAAACTGAATTTTAAACCAATTGACCTTAGACAATCGAGCTGAACTTTCGTATGCCTGTCTGGTTCGTGCGACAATACGTAATGAATTAACTGCCGCCATTATGAATCTAATATGGTGTATATGCTACATAATGGCGATTTATCATTTAAATAATACTCGTACATGGTATGGGTATCAAATGAAAGAGCTTGATGAGAGAAACACAATAAGCCGGCGTTATTCTAAATTCAATATGACGTAGGTCGAAATTTGGTGATTTATTATTTCAATAGTCACCCCTATAATATGGGCATCAGATGGAAAGGCTTGAGAGAAACACAGTAAGCAAAATGTCATATAGTTATTTACCCCTATGATATGGTTATCGACTGAAAGGGCTTGATGAGAGAGATACAGTAAGTAATGTGTCATTCCATATATATATATATATATATATATATATATATTTATAATTTCCATAGTCACCCACACATTATGGATATCAAATGAAAGGGATTGAACAGAGGAACACAATAAACAAAGTGACGTCATTCTAATCCAATATGACGGACGTTTAATATGAAAATTGACAATGCAATATTATTATGACATGGAGATGATCTGATGATGAAGCCAGGAAGTAGCCATGGGAACCCATCAAATAGAACCTCCCTTGATTCGCAATGACAAGTACTGTAGTCTTATGGTCTGATGATTAAGTTAGTCAAGTATTGTGTAAAAAATACTCGTCTATAATAACTATATCAAATTTAAACTTTTTTAACATTACATAGTTCGCTAAAGTGTAGTATCAATCAATTGGGCAAGAATACTTAATGGATATAGGTGTAAGTATGTCTCTCGTATTTACACGAATTTGTTCTATTTTTTGTTTCTTTTACGCAACGTATGCATTTGATTTTGAAATATGCATACATATGAATAATTATTTTTGATTAAGTCAATAAAACAGTAGAAAAGACCTTATAAGAGTTATTCTCGTTTTTTCCACACATTCCTATTTATTTCTCAGACTTTTTTATATATAAACTTACTATTTCTCACTACTTTTTGTGTAAATCTCAATTTTCTCACTTAAATTTGTGCTTTGGGTCGCCACCCCTGTTATCTCGACAAACAAAAAAGTTATAACGAACATTATGTAGTGGCGTCACTAATAAGGTAACCAAACTTCCCATTTATGCTATAGTTGGCTGTCAATTTACTAATACCATCAAAGATACAGAACGTGATCGGCTGTTCGTAGCGTTACTTAAAAATAACGTTTTTTGTTAGCAACAGTTTCAAGTGTACGAAGTCGCGGGTAACAGCTGGAGCAAAATAAAACGTCTGTATCACTTGACGACTTGACGTTCACAGCTTGAGTGGGGCGATGGCTAACCGCGAAAATCGATTATTTGTTCGCGGAAAAATCATGCCGATAACCTTCCTCGGGTATCAATTAGTAAGTGAACACTTATTTACGTCTCTCCACACGGGTATTATGTGACATTTCGTCGGGTTTTTTTCACATTTCGTAGGTTTTTTGACATTTCGTAGTTTTAGATGTTAACTTAGCACAAGCTGTTGTACACTTGTGGTGAACTCGTTTTGTAGTTGTAGCCGTGTTGCTTAAACGTCAGCGAAAAGTGGTCATAGCAACCAAACGTGGAATGAACTATTTGCACACTACAAGCTACCTAGTCTGCAAGATGACATTTCGTTGTTTATTTTTTTGACGTTTTTTAGTTTTTTTTACATAATAGCCATATTGTGATGCTGACAGACGGGCTAGACACATTTATAAATATATGTATAGAGAGAGAATAAGATACCGGACCACACAGCATTAGAGTTTCGAAGATAACAGATAAATGTACCTTACCCGCCTAACAGCATTAAAGATTTTATGACAAATATTCCAATAACTATTTATTTTCAGTATTATACTTGAAGTAAACACACAAACAAATCTAAATGAAGACGCTAAGAAAAGAAATGTGGTAAATAATAATAACAATCTAATAATAATGTTTGTTGGTTAAAATACAAATGTAATATGAATATTGAATAATACATGAAAATATACCAATACACATGATGAAATACCCAAACACGTATGAACTTATGCTTGGGCTTGTGAGACGTGAAATATTTTAAAATACGAAAGATTTTATGTTTTGTCAAATGTATAAATGTACATATCTATAGTGATAATATCAATTTAGACATAGTATCTACTGATTTTTATGTCTATGAGTTTATGTATAAATAGTCTTGGTCGACTTAGAATCCACAACTTTAAATCAATTTTGGTACGTTTTTTGGACCGTGTGTGTTTCAAGTTTATGATATTATATATAATATAGAATTTTGGCCAAAGAATTGTAAAGATTTCCGTTGAATACAAATATTATTTATGTTGAATATAATCTTTAATATCCACCCGCCACTAAGTTTTCAAAATGCATATTCGATTTTAAATTATTATCTATAATGATTATCACTAAGTATTTGATATTATCTACTGATTGTATATATTTGTAGCCAACTGGTGTTTGAATATGGAATATATTGAAGGGTGAAGAAGATCTCTTATCGGAAGAAAACGTTCTGAAGTATGTTTTGTTAAAATTAATTGTCATAAGTCTTTCTGGGAAAGCATTCATAACCTTTTAGAAATCCAATTTGATTTTGTTCTTTAAAGAATCCCAATCATTATCTGAATACATAATAACCGAGTCAACTGCATAACCAATAATTTTCCCATCATTATTCAAGTTAATAAGATCATTTACATATATATTATGTAAAATTCGTCCTAACACAGTCCCTTGTGGAACTCCATACCTAACTGTAACGTCTTCACTTAGTGTTAAATATCCGGCTATAAGATTATAAGTTCTTTCTCCAAATTTTCTATGGTACTTTGAAGTTTTTCATGAGTGATGCAATCAAAAGCTTTGGCTAATTTATAAAAATGTAGTCGGATGGTGTACTATACTTATAAATTAGTAGTTATTTGTATGAGTGCATCATGGATAGATTTTCCCTCTTGAAATCTGTATTGTTGCCTAGAGATGATATTAAATTTCGCAATAAAATCTTCTTAAATGAAGTGATTTATTTGCTTCAGGGTATGCCCAGGTGAATTTTTAATTTTTATATCTTTGATCATATCTTCTATTTCATTCTGGTCATTTGGAGACAGATACATAGAATTTTTTAATAATGCACGATGCAAATGCCCTATTTATATACCCTTACTCATTTTGACCGGACCAGTGGCTGAGCGCTTCTGAGCCGATAAGGTAGATATTTCTCAAAGTTATTTCCCGAGATCGAAGATAGCCTATGTGCTATTCCAGACCATAATCTATGTACCAAATTTCATCCAGATTCGTTCAGCCATTTTGGCGTGACTGATCAACAACCGTCCACACTTTTTCATTTAGAATATTAATAGGGATTGTAATTATCACTTTTTTTGATCTGTACTTTGAAAAAGGCCAACGAGCTGGCCCATACGTTAGCAATAACTCAAACCTACCTTTAACGGCCAGAAATCATGGAGAATTACCAAAGTTAATGTGATTCAATAAAATCATTTACATTATTATCGATTTTAACTTACCTTGTTACTTGTCCCATGCGCCTGCACAGTTTGTGCGACATTGTGGTTCGACGCGGTGTGTATAGGGGGCGCTACTGGTAAGTTAGCACTCATCGGTCGCAAGCTGGTGTACGATCCCTTCAGTCGCGGCGCCATATTCTTCAAATTTGACACTGAGGAGGCGGGACGAATCTGGATACCACTATGCTTGTATGACGATGGCACCGCTTTCGGGTTAGTGGGCTTTGGCATCGGTACCGGCTGCAGATGAATACATTTTTCGCATATACTGACTCGAATTATTATCAACGGAGAAAATTCTGTCTTTAGAAGAAATATCTTCCAATCTAATCATTCAGGCTGTTGCCTGGAAAGTTTTTGAAAGTATACAAAAGCCGATTTTCTGAAGATTCCGATGTGCTTCTTCCGAATTTACACTTCGTTTCCTCATAAGTTTTTCCATAGCGCCGCCATATTAGAATAATCGTGGCCAAAAACAGTTTTTTAAGAATATCGTATGTTCAACCCATTATATGAAATTAAACAAGTTATGTACTTAACATCCTTTTCTAGAATGGATAGTCTAGACATTTAATGTGAGGTGAACATATGGAAAATCGTGATTTGTTCTTTTAGGTTAGAATGTTTTGAGGAAATTTTGGATAACGTTGCATCTATAGATTTCGATATGCTATTTCTAGATTTCCACTTTGCTTTTGCCACCTCGTATCCTTTTCGCTCGCGCCTCCATATTGGAAAAATGGCGTTCCAAAATATTTTGACCATGCTTTCAAACATCCCTGTTCACATTTTTTCTTTGATGAAAATAGCTTTATGATAAATTAATCTAATGTGAACAGGGCTTTTGCGTTAAAAATTCAAATTTCACCTTGCTAAAACATGACTCTTACAAAAAATAAATAAGGAAGGACTTTTTGAAATGCACTGTATTACAGGCAGAGTGAGGAAACAGACGCTAAATTTGAGACGAACGATGATCTATAGTGATTTTCTATGACAACAAACTGATCTTCCTACCTTTATTTGATCACTTTCATTATCCTTGAAATTTCCATGGCTTTCCTGACTCCAGGTTGCATAACCATCCTGAATATTCCTCATAAATGTTAACTATTGAAACAATATAATTAGAAATAAAACACTTACCTGAACGGTTTTCGGACAGGCCACAGTATAAGCCGACCGCGGATTAGCTTTGGCTTTCGTATTAATTGGTTCAGCGGATTGAGCATGGCTAAGGGTCGTCTTCGGGGTTCCGTAATTGTCAAGTGACGTTGCCGACGATTTGACACTTCTGTACTCGTCAATAGACGAGCCGTCAGAATCGGAAGCGGGCTCTCCGCCAGTCACAATCGGCGAGATAAAGCAAGTGTCAAGTAATTTTCTTGGCACGGCTAACACCGCTTTTGGCGTCGACATCACTTGTTCCAAGCCTGGAAATGGTTATCTGAGAGTTACTACACGAGTTTTCATTAATAGCGACAAGATTAGGGGGAGGAGTAATTTTATTTATTTGTATATTGTACTGGGTTTCACGGAAGAACATATCAATATCTCGTATGCATATATGTACTAAGAATCGATTCTTTTCAAGCAAGTTCCGACTTATGAATTTAAGGAAATTTTGACAGCTTAGAAATCAGTTGGGGCCTTGCATGTTGGTGTCCATGGAAAACAATTAACTCATTTAGATCGCTGGGGATTGACTAACCTCCAGTTCCGGTTATTAACTCAGGATACTGCCCATTTGAAAATATTGTAACACAGATAACAGATTACCTAATGATGTTTTAGAATTACGTTGGGCTTTCCGAGGACTGGCCGCAGCGTAAATTCGATAGGAGGCTTGAAACAAGACTATTTTTCTCAAAAATAATTTTTTATGCTAAAGCATTAGGCAAAAATATTATTTATGAACCATTATTATACAGGCTGTAAATTTCAGCAAGATTATGTTAGGGCTAGTCCGACCATGACAGTCTGATTGAGTTAATTATTTTCCATGGATACCATCAAGTAAGGCTCCATCTGATTACCAAGTTCTCAATTTCATCGAACTTTTCGATGTCGTTCAAACGTTATTCGACATATGAATTGGAGAACGACCGATATAGGATTTTCGCTGACATCAATATGTCAGATGCCGATATATCAGCCTTATCGGCCTTTCGTCCGTTTTCGCACACAATCGGGTGTATTTCTGTACGATAACCTTTGCTAAAGCTCATGGGGCACACACGCGACTATGCAAGTCATTTGCTTGAAACGCTTTGCTTGTATAAAGTTATATATGCCACAAAAATGTAAAAAATAATGAAAAGTAGCAACGTCTCGGCATATTTCGACAATTTCCGATCAATAGACGGTCGAATTTGATATTGCAATTTGTGACCTATGCAAGAAACAATTTCTTTGGGCGGCAGAGGAAAGGAAATTTATTGCCTGATATGATAGCTAATGTTGATTTCACTCGTTTATTGAGAAAATTATTTCCTTCTGATGACTTACCGGTAGAAAATTATTTCCGTGAAATTATCATCCCTGATTCTAAAGATGTAAAGCGTATGTGTAAGAGAACATGGATAAAAAACGGAAAAATATCACTAACATCAGGTATATGAACCTGTCAAGAGTACCCAGCGAACATGTTTTTTTTTTCTGAGGCGGGCAACATTTACAGTGCGAGAAATTCGAAAAGTTGCAAAAACGTTAGAGTTAACATGTTTGCCGAACCTTCAATCTTTGAGCGCGTGTCCAGACCGAATCGAATAATTTCACAAAGGCTTATGTCTCCAGATGTAGTCTACAGGAAAAAAATTGAGCCAGATCTGAAATACTACCCACCAAGCCACCTATTTTGATGGAATTAAAGAAAGTGTGTTTCTGTGAAATTAGGGGCGTACCGACCACCACGAGGAGCCGGCGCATAGGCCACATGACGGGTCCTTATGCACCACTACATTTTCTAAGCCACAAGCTCCGCCCTTCTAGCGAAGTTGTGTCTAGCCCTGTGTGCCAGCTCCTTAACATTCTGGGGATCCAAAGTGTTGGACCCCAGTAGTCTGCCTGTAGTAGCTCAGAGCTTTGCAGCGACAGAATATGCGCCGAGAACTCCTACTCTACCCCGCAGCACTCACACATGGGATCCTCAGCCACTCCTCCTGACTTTTTGCCGAGTCACCCCTAGGGCTGACAGGTCCAACAAACCTGCCCGCTGATCGTGCTCTAGCGAGAGTTTTCGCCATATCATTACCCCATATCCCAGTGTGCCCCGGTGCCCACACTAACGATACCGGAAGCCTTGCCGCTACTAAACTATCCAGAGCATTCCTGCATTGTAATACAAAGCTCGAAGTAATCTTGCAGACACTTGTGCGTTCATGCGGAATAGGCAAGCCAGCATCGCATAGATTTCCGCCCGAAAAACGGTAGTGTATCTACCGAGAAGTACCAAGAGCCTACTTTTAGGCCCAAAGACCCCGGCGCCAGAAACTTCTTCAGTAACCAAGCCGTCCGTGTAGCAGACTTGCCCACTTTCTTCAGATACTTTCCGGAATCTCACTCCACCGTCGTCGGATACTCCACATTGAACTTGTTCTTAAAGCTCAGACAGACGGGATCCTCTCTTTGTAGTTCGACTAAGATGGCCGTGTGTGATTCATGGAGGCGCCACTGCCCAGACGCCACATTTGATGTGCGGCCACTTTCATCTCTCCGCGAATCACTAAATCCAACGGTGGGAGATTTAGCAGAGCTTCCCTTGCACGCAATGGTGTTGCATGCACTGCTCTTGACATCAAACACTTTTTGTTGAGTTTAGCCTTAGTTGCCTCCATTCCAATACAAATCCACCAGACCAAGGAGCCATACAAAAGAGATAAACGACTAAAGAATAGAGCCACCTCACCACTTTGAGTTCTCTCTGACGAGCCGTCTACAAGCCCACAATGAACTGCGAGACTCATTAACCTTGTACCCAATATGCTCTCTCCAATTCAGTTTACAGTTCAAGATGATTCCTAGATATTTTACCGATTGGGATAGAACGAGTCTGTCCAAAAAAAATGTCGGCATGACAAGGCCGTCAAACTTCCTTTTCCTAGTGAACACTACCAGCTCGATCTTTAGAGTGTTGCAAGCTCTCCATACACATTACACTTTATACAAACTTGTGGTATTATTTGTTATGTTCAATATGCATACGAGAAAATCACATAGCATTCCAGTTTGCACAGCTTTGAAGACGTCCAGAAGCAACTGCCGCCGGCATAAAACCGCAATGAAGTTTGAAGTTGTTTTTGCTTTCCATGCCAATAAACGTAATCAGGAAAAAAATAATAATTTGAAATATATATTTGGATGCTGTATGACCCATTTTTACCGGGATGTTGTCGTGTGTGCTGAGTGTCCGATAACTTTTAGCTCCTTTAGAATCCGTAGGACACCACACTGATTGTGACAGAAAATTGCTATTATACTAAGAATGAAAAATCTTCGAGGTTTCTGAAAATTGGTTCAGTAGCGGCGGAGTTATGATCAAAACACAATAAGATCCAAAAGTCCACAAACAAATGATTATTTGGCACAATAAAGAATATTCTTTGGATAAGTAAAATTATAAAATCCCAGTCCTCATTTTTCAGCATTCATAACTTTTGGGGTGTAGTTGTTGTAGTTGTAGTTTGTTGATAGACTCATAAATTTTATAATCGTACCTCATTTTTTAATTTACGGATTATACTATTAAAACTACGAATTTTTGTTTAATCAGAGTTTACAAATAACTTGATTTTGTAATGCTTCACAGATTCATTCAATTCGAAAATAGACATATTTTAATGCGTGGAAAGATATAGGTAAATCTAATTGATTTTCCCTATAATCTGACAAATTACTTCGACAACATAAACATGGTTACACAATAATAAAATTCTTCCGCATATATCGCTAAAATGGCTTAAATTCAATAATCAAGTTTTTCCTCGATAAAACCTGTTTTCAATTTATCATAGATGTAAATAAAGATACCTGCATAAATCCAAACAAACGGTTTAAATTTTCACGAATATGATGACCAACAAAAGGTATATCTTTACCCACCTCCTTCAGAAGTAGAAAATTGGACTGTTTACTTCAAGGATTGGCAGGTGTTGAACGGAAGTAAGATATATCTAGATAACCTCAATGTCGCAATAAATGTAGTAACTGAGGTGGAGAGTAATTAAAACAATATAGAAACTTATATATAACTATAGTTACTTATTTTCTTACATCTCTCCTGCATTTGTACCATGGCACCCACATCAGCAACACTGAGCATTCTGTTGGATTCCCTGCTACTAGTTGAGATACTGCTCATTCTATCCAAGCTATCAGCTGAACCAATAGACTGTCGTTTCATACTCGTATTTTTGTCACTAGTGCCTTCTGTATAGCCAGAATCTACTCGACCATTGTCATCATCAAGGCAGTAACTTAATCTGTAAACAGATTTTTTTGTAGGTCTGATATATTGGTTGACATGGCTTTCATGGAGTCAACTTGAAGAATATTATTCCAATAAATAAAAAGAAAAATCATATTCTTCTGAATTGTACTCTAAATAGTTTCCCCCTCATACCACTTCATCCCATTATGAAACCCAAATATTTCTAAACAATACTCCAAGATGATTGTCTTAAGAGCAGTCGTTCAGCACTATATGCAACATGATGTACATTCCTTAAAATCATTTCTTCCCTATAGTAGAAAAAAAACCTCCAATTTTACCACACAAAACGTACCGATTATTGTCAGCAACAGGCGCCTCAGATAATTCTTTTTTCATATTTTCAATTGTATTTTCTCTACTTAGACCATTATGTATATTCAGATATGTTTTTGTGCCCTCAAAACTTTTAATTGTACAGTCTTTTATAAGAGTTTGTGTCAAATCTTCATTTGATGTTTGTAATTCTGGTTTACCATATGTGGCATCCAGAACTATTGTGGTGTTTCTTAAGTTTGTCTTCCTAAATGTGTTGCTTTTCTTAGGCGTTCTAGAGTAGGTGCCATCCATGTTATTTTCAACTTTTGCAAATGTGATGTTTTGCAGACTGTCTGGAAATCAAGAATTATGTTCATTGACAATACTTTTCACAGTAAAACCAGTACAAAAACATAGCTTGCTCATAGATTTTGACATAATATCTATACACCTATTCAGTTTCTTAGTTTCATATACCCATACACAGATGATATAGTGTAAGATGAAAAAAAAGATTAGACATAGGTTCCCGTTTGCAGAGGCAAGTTAGAGGTGAAAACCCATTTCCAATTGATGGAATATTGAATCAACCCTCTATCATACAACTTACAAATCTACCTTATGTCATCTTGGCTACGAAGTGAGACCTCGCCAAACCTCTCAGGATCGTATCCTAATATTTGACGATCTTTACTTGTGCGCAGGTGACATGATAGATATTAGAATTGTCATATAATATTACTAATTACTAAATGGTGAAAAAATATGTTTGTTTTTTGGGATTACACACTTCAATGGAAGTGTCTAAATTCGTATACAGGGTGCTAATATTCCAGGACAAGATTCCTCAGATAATTTTATGAGAAAACCATCATATGGACATAAAATATATCCATATTGTTACGTATAAGAGAATGATTATTTGTATTTTGTATACCTAAAAGTACTACAGATATTATTTTTAATTTTAATATATTTTAAGAAGATGTAAAATAATATATTTCAGTACAAAAAGTTATTCTATTGCACCACCAGTAGCGTCCCTGCTAAGATATCTTGTAATATCTTTCACAAAAAAACTGTAACCTTTTTTATGTGATTAGCAATTGACATTTTTTTATTGTTAATCAAAAATGGTGCATCAGAGGAGAAAAAATATTTTTTTTATATAAAAATGTTCAAGCTAACTAAAAACAATGTTTACAGAAGTGTACCAATATTTTTGTAAAAAATGTGACAAGGTATATTAGCAGGAACACCACTGGTGGCCCAGTATTTACACTAAAATGTTTATAGCTTCTTATAATATGCCAAAAATGAAAGTAATATCTAAAATATAGATTATATAAAACAAATACAATTTTTTTCCTCAAAAATTTCACACCCAGTAGCTAAAAATCTAACCAATTCTCAACATATGCTCATATACTTTTCATTATACAATTATTTGAGGAATCATGTCCTGCAAGGGCATTTCATATCTTCAAAAGTGATATGTCATTTTTTGGTAATATAGGTTTTTTGTGACATTATACAGGTTTTCATATAAGATGCCAACTTTAACTAGCTGTTGTTCTCTTGATGTGCACCTGTTGTATAGCTGTATGTGTTACCTAAACGTCATGATGCTTGAGCTATCATGGTTTGGCTGATGTAACATCTGCTTTAGAGATAGCATTAATGGAGGTTCAAGCTATAGTTGGAAGGAAATGACAGTGGCTAGGTGCTTAGTGAGGATTTGTGTGCTAATAGTCTATGTTGTTGATAATTCCCTTGGTTTCTTGTCTCAAATACACTTACTTGAGATGTAGGTATGCAAAGCTAAAAATTATTTTTCATTCTGGTAATTACACATGCAAATTTGCTGAATTCAAAAAAAGCAAAAGATCAAATAAGAATATCCCTGGTTGGTGAAGTATATCACAACTAACATCTGAGAAAATAGGCAACAAACATGACAGTCATGAAATGTGAACATTTTACATATTTTTTTATTTCCAGTCATTTACATTTTATTGAAACTTATTTCATGATGTCAAGTAGAAAATACAAAGCAGCACCTAGATGTGAGCCACTGTGAAAATGTGTTGTGTGTGATGTGCCATTCATAATATTTCAGTGATGTGTCTTTGAAGGTAAATGAATATATTTATTTTTTAAAGTAGTCTTAAAACTTTGAACATAGCTTCTCTTCAGAAATAACCTGTTTGGCACAGCTAATAGATATACTTCCTGGTAAGCATATTCATTAATAATTTTCTCAAATAGCAAATATCACTAATTTTATACATATGCAGACCAATATACATAATCAACCAGATGTGATCTTGCTACTCAACCAATGTTCTTTCTTTCTCATCTTAGAGATATAAAATCTACAGACTATCTCAGCATTCTCCAATGAACATAGCACACTGGTATACTGTTGAGTCATTCCTCCATAGGCGACGCTCATAGGGCTTATGTTGTTTTTTGACATCATACAGGTTTTTTATGTAATAACCTTGCAGAAGTATTAGCACATCTTTGATGATCTCACTGTATAATTCTAGTGCTACAATAAATGTTCAACAACCTAAAACTCTGCAGCTTTACAAAATAACATATATTTTTAGAAGGTTCAGATGTCCCTTGACTACATACTGAATGAAAGGCTGCTGATAAGAAATTTAATAAGACTTTCCACAAAACATGGCTGGAAAATCAATTTAACCACCCTACTGATAAAAGTTGTCAATTAATCAAACATAAAAAATATATGATAGATTAAACTATAGCTTATCAGTATTATCTTAATACAATAGATGGGTAATGTATGACCAACAGATAAGAACAACAAAAATGAAAATAAGCAAAGACACAATACTGAATAAATGATTTACCTTTTCCTTTGCCATTTTTAGAAACTTCCTCACTCTCTGTAATAAATGTCACACCAATCTGAATATCTGCCAAATTACTCAAATTCTGGGTAGAGTTCTTATTAAATGTACATGTACCATTCAAGGCAGCCTTTTTCAAAAAACCTTCAGGAGTATCAGAGTTTATGCTCGTACAACTTTCTGACATTGAGTGAAATGTAGGAGGTTCAACATCTTGCAAGAAAACAGTTTCTGTGTAGTCTGCATCTCGTATCTTTCTTAATTCAGGATCATTGTTGATGAAACTGCTTTCCATCAAATTTGCAAATGTAGATGAACACATAGAATTAACTAAACTAGGTGGGGACATGTTTTGAAATGAATCAATATTTACTGATGCGTTATTGGACAGGATATGATCAAAATAATGACTCTTAGCAGGCTGAGTTAGGTCAAATGCTATTGGTTTAGAGCCTTCAATATCTTCTTCTACAGGTGCACACTCAGAAATCCTCTGTGTATCACATTTATTATCCCATACTTCATCAGTGTACTTTTCTAAGCTGGGTCGATTGAATCTTTTCTTTGGACGAGTAAAGGTTCTTGTATCTATATTCTTCAAACATAGACCATGTTCATCGCTATCATTATTCAGAATGTCTTCAATGCTTCCATGGAGAATGTCATCTACTCCTCTACTAACTAATTTGGGTGCATCTGTTGTAGGACATAGCCTTAAAAATTTGCATTACAGCGAGTTATTGATACAAAACAGTAATTACTCACCAAGTGTAGTCATCCTCAAAATGAATAGCATCTATGTCAATTATATCGCTATCACCATCGTCATCTTTATCTTTGAATTCTGATAGCATAAGCTCCAATTTATTTGGATTTCCACTTTGTTTATCAGAGCTATGAGAATCGCTTGACATATCCATGATAAAATCAATTAGGAACACAAATAACTGTATCACTAGCAAATGGTATACGAAAATTTGAGAGCAAATATCATTTTGTTTTGAAATCTGATTGCCTGATTATAATTATTGATTAACACATTAGTCAATGATATAATTATAATAATCTGTTGTGTTGTAACTTATTTTCTGAATAACTATAATCAACCTATTTGTGCCAAAAGTTTACCCCTCCATTACACTTTCTCATCTTTCTAATTTAATTGGTGCCAACACTGCCAACTTCCAGTGACAGACGTTAAAAAATCACCGTTTATCTCTCCTTTTTGTTGATAATGTATTAGATCAGTAAAGATAGATCAAAACTTGCGAAAAATATTGGTTGTCTATTTGCAAGTCCGTTTACGTTTTTACAATTTTTAACGTATAATAACAACTTTAAAAAATGCAGAGGTGATCCATGTTGTTTTTTTTATTAAATTTCCATCCTAAGTGGTAGTACATGGTTAACAGTAGAGCACCAATAAATATGAAAAAATCGCAATTCTACAATCACAATCGCAAAATTCGCACTAAAGTTTTATACCGCAAATAATCTCCCGTCTCCTTTGTCTGGCAGTGATGCGACTTCAAAAATCATCAGGCGGCGACTTTATATACACTTTTTTCATCAAATTCGCAAAACTGTCATGCAGAAAATAAGTACAGCCTATTTCATGAGTATTCATCACGTTTTGATGTCTAGTCTACTGAGGTGAACAGCTGAGCAGCAAGTGACTTTTTTGTGCTAATCTGCAACATTGGCAATAATGAGTCAGAGCTGCTTTCCAGTGGTTTTTGGTTTGAGAGTCCACGGTAGCACGAAATATTCATTAAATATTTATTCAATATCCAATAATATTTTTATCTCTCTTAAATATTTGTTTCCTTAGACAAATATTTAATGCATATTTGGAATATAATATTTTTATTAAATATTTATTAAATATCTTTTAAATATTTTAAATACAATATTTTTTTGCTAATATTCATTAAATATTTACTTTTCAATCAATGGACATTATTTAAAAAATATTCATTAAATATTTTCAGATACGGCGCATGTGCGATTGACCCCGGGCGACCAATGGCATAATGACAAGCCGACCTCAGCCGAGCCGTTTACCGGCATCCATTTTGCCTGTGAGTGTCACTATGATAGCGTGCTTGCTGTATACCTCCAAGTCGTACATTATTTGAGTGTTTTTTTTTTCGTGGAAACGGGAAAAGGGTAGTTTTTCGATAATTACATAGCTTAATTTATCTGACTAGTAAACATTATTGTGCCAGTAGAATATAAAGGTATTTACAAGGCCATGAACAACTAGCCTTGAAGTGTAACAGTTATTTGAAATTGGTGGATTTATCTGAGAATGGAAATGAAAATTATATTCATAGCATCCCAGTCAAAAGTAAAATAATCGCAACTTGATCGAGATATATCAAAAATGCTTTTTTAAATATATATATTATTATTATTATTTTTGTCGTAGTAGCAGCAAATCAGCTGCAACTATTTTAAAAAATTTCAAGTTCAACAGCGACGTTCCAAAATTTCAATAGTCGAAAATACTGTAGTTTTGTCCCTTGAATTATAATATAAAATCACAAAATAGTTATGGCTAAATTAGACCCCTTACTAATGCAAAAAAGTCACATTTCAACAAAATCAATAAGTGGTCTATTTTTAAAATCATTTTCTTTGAAAGTTAGTCAAATGATCAAGTAGTGCCCATTAACATTTTCCATCAAGATATCTAAAATGACATGCCAAATTTTCTTAAAAATTAACTAAATCTTGAACTATCATAGGAAGAAAATGTGGGGTCCCTTTAGGTGCATTAAAGAGCTGCTTTACAGTGACCCAGTTGAGCTACTCGGAGTGCTCAGCACCCATATTGTTCGACTGCATTTTATAGTCCCATAAATACACTTAGCAGCTTATGTATTCAATTATACTTCAGTTTGTTTTTTTCAGAGGAGTGGAATTGCAAGAGGCTTAGAATGTTTTTTTTATATTATTTTTATAGCAAATTAAATCATTATATCTAGAGTGAATTTTCTTTATAAACCCAATTTTATAAAAGCATTGCTACAAAATTTGCACTGAGGACCAAATTTTGTTGATGGGCGCTAGTTCATTCTGTACGAGAGAGGACTGGGTAAGGCACATATGTTAGAAAGAGATAGAAGCCGCCTGGATATAGCGAAGCTCATCACCACGTTGCATAGCGATGGGAATGTTAGTGCAATCTGCCGCGTTGCCAATATGCTACACCAATTCCTTGAATTAAGATGCAAATCAAAAATATGCGTTAGTTTATCCTTTACGGCCAAATAATGGTTTTATCTTGAGCGTACACATTTTTGAATTGTGAATTGTGTCTAATCTGTCTAGGATCGATTCCCGATCGGTCCTAAAGGAGCTCCATTTTAAGTCGAAATGAAAGGCCAGGATCGTCCTAAATTCTGCAACATTGCATCATTGGTTCGTTTTACAACACCGTATCCTGTACATTCCAAGAGCTTCCAATGAGAAATAGTTTATCTTTCCATAGACATTTACACTTGTACCTGCTAAGTTCATTATGTGTCTTTCACAACTGGACTGTACATTTCGAAATGCTTAAAAAGAATTTAGAAATGAGTAATATGTATTTGTTCCTCATTTTGCTAGTCTTCTTGAATATTTCAATAATCGACATAATATTTGAAAGCAACTATTAGTGTTAGTAGAAGTAAAATACCACCAAGTAACATAGGTATCTTATCCCATTTTGAAATGGATCAAATATACAGCCTGTTGCGTTCACTCATTTGAGCTTATCGGCACAACAGGCAACTAAATATTTGAACGACTCTTGTACGAGACACACTATGACCTTACGCGGCACAGGATGAAAATATTCAGGAAATGATCTGAATACACTCGGGAAGCATCAGCAGCATATTAAACAAACTCAACCGATAGGTTCGTTATTGATACAGGAGTGTTTTTGATTTTTTCGAAATGCGGTTTATAAATTGGCAGCTTGGTTTTGATACAGGGCACCTAGTGATGGGTTAGATACTGGCGCACGTCGGATTATCTTTTAATGCTGGAGGCTACATTGAATTTGTTACCGCATATTTTTGAAAGTAGCAGTTTGTTATACATGTTTTAAGATAATTTTGCTTATTTTACATACGTACTTTTATCCATATGACTTGTACTATTGCCTAACCCTTATATTCGAGAAGGGGAGTTTTGTTTTTGCAGGTTGGCGTCAGTCAAAGCGAAGAGACGTCACTAAAACGTCGAGACAGAATCAAAACAAAAATAAAGAAACATAACCTTGTTTTTTTTGTAATATTTGTGCTTTTGTGCTAAAAATGGATAAGCATATTTTGGTTGAATATTTGAGTTCTTTGAATACAATAATACCAGAAACATTCAGAACTACACAACGTGTTAAGGTTATTATCATGAACATGTATTTTTCATGCCAGTATTTTTTATTGTGTTCAATTTTCAGTTAACAAGTTTCAGCATATGCAACAGCTGCATAATTTTTGGGGCATCCAGTGGGGGAATTTATATATTCAAACGATCGCCTTGCCAGTTTCTTAAGTTAATTCCAAGTAAGGTAACTATCCAGACATCCATATCCAGAATATCAGCTAGAAAACAAAAATTGTTAACATTAGTATTCAGAGTATTGCATTCACTTTACTCTCATAACAATGGAATATTATAAGTTAAAGTAATACATAACTAATATTGGATTGCATACCAATTGACTCTAAGTTAATGTGACTTAGAAAATGTATTCTGTGGTTGTTTTCCTGGCTTATTCTAATTACTCTGGCTGTAAAAAAAAAACAGATGATGTTCTCAGACACTTTATTGAGCACTGTACAGGGTGGTCAAGTAAAAATGGGAGGTCCGATATCTATAAACAGCCAAGTGACAAACATTTTCAAGTCTCTGAAATGGCCACATAACTGCAGTCTTGAATCTAAGAAAGTGATGTTTCTGTGAGTTCAATGTGAACTTTTTTGTTTGACAATTTTTGCTGTATCTCTAAAAGTGCTGGGAAGTATTCAAAGGTTTTCATAAAAACAGTCTGTATCTTCAAAATTGCTGAGCTGATTTTAACAAACTTGAGCTAGTTGAAAAGAACTATTTTATTTTATATGGAAATCCATCAATTTTTTATTTGTTAAACTAATTTTCTTTTTTAATCATCAGAATAAAATCATCCTATTGAAAATATTACCAAATATCACTTAAAGGTGAGAAATAAGAATAACAAAAGGCATATTTTTTGCTTAAATGCATAATTCACTATGGGTACATATGAAACAGACAATCAATAGAAGCAGGCCATGGAGTACAACAAATCAAATACCTAATCAAAACATAAATTATCCTCAAATTGTCAATTAATAGTTGTCAATAGTTTTGCATTACTTTGAACAATTTTTGTGCTTATCAATTGCGTTTTATGATCGATGAAGCTGTTGATATGCTTGCAATTTATTTTGAATGTCTTCAGAATGCTGCAGTAGCAAAAAGAGTTTACGCGACACAATTTTCAAATCGGCGTCTTTGCAATGTGCTTTTTCTCCGATTACTGGCAAGCTTGGTAGTTTCAATGGCAAAGAATTGGAAGATCACAAGAAAATATCATCCACGTACTGGAATATATTGAAGGAAATCGTGATAGCACAAGTGCACTATTCCTTGTGTTGGGCATATCATGAGCAACAGTTCAAAACATTTGGAGGACCATAGGAAAATTCTAACGGCCTTGAAAGAGGAAGACTTTGATCAGAAGTTGGACTATTAGCATTGGATGTTTGGCATGATACGCGAAAATAGACAATTTGAACCAATGAAGCCTTAATAGTGACAGGAGAGTCAATCTGCACAATATGCATTATTGTTCTGCAGAAAATCCGCATTGGTTGCATGAAGTATTTACATATAAAATTTTCCTTGGCTTAAATTTCAGGTTAGGAACAAGATATCGAGATGCAGTTTGCGCAAGCTTGTTTCGACATTGTATCTACTTTTTCATAAAAAAAATCATACTAATGCATTCAATTTTTTGAGAAAATGAACCATTTCTATCGGAATGTCGAAGAAAGCCCTCTAGCGGCAACATGTGGAACTAACAAAACTTCAAATATTATAACATTTGTAGCCCAAGTATAGCTCTTTTGAACTAGCTCAAGTTTATTAAAATCGGCTCAGCCCTTTCGAAGAAACCTTTGAATACCCCTTACCACTTTATTTTGAGAGGTACAGCAAACATTGTAAAACAAAAAGGGTTCAAATTATCCTCGAATTTAATGCAAAATTGCAGTTAAGCCTCCTAGCAGCCACTTCAGAAACTTGAAATTTTTTTATTATTTTATTTATTTCTCTTGACTGTTTTAGTAATAACTGCAAGCCTCTACGGTGGATAGGTTCCCAGATACAGTACTTTGCATTCTTAGTTGGCCACCCTGTACAGCAGTTCATTGATCTGTAGTGGTCCGGAAAATATGTTACTAAAAGTTGGTTAAGTTGTATATGATTTTATTTATAGCCTTACCATATTCAAATTAAATTTGTATGCATAGTTAAGTTGTATGAATAATTTTGAATGATGATAGTAGTTTTGCATTTTTTTATTTTGCTACCATAGTAACTGCATATACATAAATTTGGATTTACCTAAGCATCATCAGATATGGGCTAAGTGATGCTTAGGTTTTTGTAACATAACTTACACTAACATGTCAGTAAAGTTCATGTTTTTGCAAATAACTTATGCTACTTTTAATCTGTTTTATGACACTGTTTCATAGACTGTACAGCAAATAACTTTATATCCATTATACAATAGTGTTAACACATTTCAAACTAATGTTAACAACATTAGTTAAAATACTCTGAGGAGCAATCCAGTAATGAGCTGTTTTTTCAGGAAGGATCAGCCTCACAAATTGATATTAGCAAAAATGAGAAAAACTTGGCTGTAGCAACATCCAAAGGAATTATAATCATCGTAGAAAACTTCATTGACAATAACATTAATATACCTTTAATTTATAATGAGCATGAAAGAAGTACAGTAACTGCAATGAAATGGTGTGGAGATAACTTACATATTGGAGATAGTTCAGGGAAAATATCAGTGTTTACATTAACTTCAATACTGGTAATATGACTCAGATCACTTGTTGATCTTTTACTGAATTAAAATATTACAGTGATAACATGATGAGTCAAGTGAATCACTCAGTATTTCCTATGCTACGCACTTACATACATTTATTTGAAATTTCTGGTATACAAAAATTCTAACCATCCGAGTGAATGTGAAATATAGGTATGCCTGATATCTAATTTCAGTTTTTTTAACTACCTCAATCCTCAATTCTTTTGATCATTTCAATAATGTCCAGGAAGTACATAAAGGTTGAAATATCAAATTTATTAAAATGTTGATACTTCCGAAACATTTTTTGACTAACCCCAAAAAATGTTAAAACAAGGCCTGGGAATGTTTTGGTATATTTAATTTGTAACTCATAAATTCACCGCCACTGTATCTAGTTTCATAATCTACAGTTTTTATCTGTGAGGAGCCAAATATCTCCAGTGAGATAGAAGCAGACGGATCAACGGAGATGACTCTTCGTGATGTAACATCCAAAATTTTTCGTGAATATAAAGTTTCTTTGTTAGGTCTATTTATTGTATATATTTACTACAAGCTTAAATGTGTTCTTAAGAGAATGCTGCATAGAAAGGACTGATGAAGCTGATTAGTCAAATAAGCAATTTAAGCTTTTGTTACTAAACTAAATTGTGTAATATTCCACGTAGGTTTCTAAAAGTTAAATAAAGGGATGACATACATGTTTTGAGAATAACTTCTGTTTTCATAAAGTTGTAATTATAAAGTGCTGAGGCGGATAGCACCCTCAAAAACTGTGAATTATAACTTTATGGAAACCTATGTCATCCCATAGCTAGCTTTTATAGTAGTAGTAGAAAGATTTATTTAGCACATTTGGCTACATAAACAGAATAATTGTAAACAACTTAGAACTAGTATAAATTCAAGCCATATGATGTATGATGTAAATGCTGGGCAACCTATAATTGTAGATTTAACAAGTGATTTCTCAATTTTACTTTAAATTTTGTCAAACTTTTCTGGTCTTTTATCTCTGAGTATAATTTATTATATTCAATCAACCCTTGATGGAATACAGATTTGTAGCATATGCTTTTTGGTCATTAAAAGTCATCTTTATTTCTGGTATTATGTAAATGATGGTCGACATTTGATGATGTTAAATTAGTTAGACTTGATGGAAATATATTATTTTTTACTTTATAAATGGATATCATTACAAGATATATGAATTTTTTTTTTAAATTGAGCCATTTTAATTTGCTAAGCATTTGCCTAATTGGAGTATATTAATCTTTATTCAGTATTATTCTCATGCACTTATTTTGTAAAATTTGCAGTCTTTCAAAAATGGAATTATTTGCTAAATATAGAATAGTCGAACAGTACAAGAAATTTGGAAGAATGATGGTATTATAGATAATTTTTCTGCTATATGAACTCAGACATCCAGAAACTCTCGATAAATATCCCACTTTGCTACTAATCTTATTTATAACTTTTTCATAATGAATATAAAAAATTAATCGAGAGTCAACAAAAACCCCCAGGCATTTAAAATTTTCTACGAATTCAATATCTTCACCGTCAATATTCAGTTGAACATTTTTACATTGTTTTTTTTTTCGATTAACAAGGCTTTCGTTTTACTTGTATTTAATTTTAGTCTGTTAGATGCTAACCATTTTGAGACAAGTTTCAAGTCTTCTTTTATATAAGAGATATCAGTCTGAATTTTTTAGTACTTATAATCATAGTGTCATCTGAAAAAATCTGAATTTTGCATTTTTTGACTATGGCAGGTAAATCATTTATGTATAAAATAAAAAGAAGTGGTCCCAGGGCAGCATTGTCCCACTGTGATCACTAACTTTAGGTGTATGTACAGCTTTAATCCCTGCACATTCGAAATTTACAATAACAAGATCTAACAAAGTCTCTGATAATGATGTTATTCTGGTACTCTCTTCAATTTTAATATTTTAAATTAATAATTTATATTAAAATCACCCAAAATTATATTGTTTCTAAAATTCCACATCTCTTCGCATTTTTCTTCAAAAAACGTTAAAAATGTATCCGCATCACTGTGTGGTGATCGGTAAAAAGTACAAAGATCATAACCTTTCCCAAATAATTTGAACTGTATATGTGCATACCAGTATGCATAGTCTAAAGTGGTACAATCGAATAATTTGATCTGTATTTTATGGTAAACATAAATCACTACAACTCCAGTATGTCTCGAGTTGGAGTTGCATCTGTAGGTTTTATAATTAGTAATTTGTAATTTACCATCAGTGATTTCTTCTGTAGCATGTGTTTCAGTAAAACATAATACACGTGGTTTTCTCCATCTTAAAAACTGTTGAACTTCATCTATATTATTCAGGACTCCTTGTATGTTTAAATGGTAAATTGAGTTATATTCACCACTTACAGATTTAGCCACATCTTGCAAGTCTGGGCTTAGTAGTTGCTATTCATTTGCATAACTAATTTCTCCCTCTCACGCTCAATTTTCCTTTTATATACTTCACAATTTTTGTCAAATGGTCCATGATTAATAGGTAATCCTAGATTAAAATCCTGGTTTGCGCTTTTACAATTTGGATAGCATTTGTACATTTCACTGGTACTACAGTTTTCTGTTGAATGTCCTTCTAATCCACAAGTAATACATCTTCCTGATTTTGTGCAGTATTTAGTTGCGTGGTTACATCCGGTACATTTATAGCATCGCAAAACATTGATGTACTCGAGAACAGAGCAAACAGACATGTCGATAAAAATAACACCCTGATTCATAACACACTTAAAAGTCACAGCATCCACTTCTAAAATTGCTTGATATTTAGTTTTCATTTTCTTGACTGTAATTACTCTCATATGCGAATTTTCTTGAAAAGATTCATTTTGTGATTTTATAGTATTTATTAGCTCGTCTTCTGCATATTCTTGACACAATCCAATAACTTTGATTTGTGGTTTTTTACTTATCTCTGAAGTTTTAACTGTATATGTTTCTGGCATTTTTGATTTTATTTATTTATGTAGCTTCTCGATATCATCTTTTGTTTTACATTGGATTTTCACCCCACCATCCTTCAATTCATAAACTTTTTCAATAGCAATTTTCAAACTGGTAGGATTCACAAATTTTGCGATGTCGTTCTTTGTGTTATTACACTCTTGTTGGTTATTAGGCTTAACAATGACTGTATTTGTAGGTATTAATACTGGTGATTGTTTTTTTGCTGTACGTGTTTGCAAAGGTAAGCATTGCTGCTTATATTCTACCATTGTTGTAGGCGAATTAACGGTTGAAGGCCCTGAAGCTTTAACCATATCAGCGTAAGTTGTAATTGCTTCTTGTGACGGCTGTTGCATTTTCCCAATTTTTTTGTTTAATTGGTCTATCTTTTCGTACAATTCCTTTATTAATTTTTCTTGAATCGGAATGGTATAATCTTTTAGTTTCAAAACTTCCTCTGTACAAAATCCCTTTTCACTCAGTGAGACCACACTCTCCACTCCCTCACTAGCTCCATCCTTTTTAGAGTTCTCCTCCATATTCAAAGTAAAAGTTCAGTAATCTCCTAAAAACCTTTTTTTTAGCATGACCTAATTTTTGACATTAGAAGTGAAAAAAGTATTTCCGGTGTTAATTTTCTGCAATCTCTTCCATGTGGGATCTGCAGCTGCAAACAGGTGTGGCAATATATATTTTGTTAATCTTCCCGGTGATCCTTGGTTGATATTTTTATGTGTGGTCTTTACCAACATTTCGTGTCTGTGTTGGAGCGAATAAAAAGAGCAAGTGTAGTAGATAATATAGCTATCGCACTTTTCCTGGAATATTATACAATTTAGTTTAGTAACAAAAGAGAAAGTATGCTTGAAATTCAAATTTTTGATTGATCAAATTGATTGTTAAAATAGTCAGCGCCGTCAGTAGTAAATCTTTGCTGCCTCCCCTAAAGCTATTTTAAAGGGGCACTCCTCAAAACCAAAGTATTTGATTAATACAAACACGCTTTCTTCATTATACCAACAACCCAGTACCATAAGAGAAATCTTCCTATTGCATTAGAAAGAAAAACAAATGTTAAATACGATCACACCTCTTTTTCTTGTTGTGGAGTAAACAAATCCTAAGAATGATATGAGGTATTGGAGTGTCAGATCAAAAAATATTTAATTGGCATTTTATCAACCTCAATATTAAGTTTGCATATTTGCTCAAATATATGCATTTTATTTATTCACTTTCTTTCAATTGTGTATATTTATGGATAAAAAATATTAACTATTCGGTGCAGTGAACAAACGGGAAATATTTGATTCATGAAACTTTCCCCAACAACTTGTCAACCCGGAGTTTAAATCCTGCTATCAGACTTTTAATTATGTCAAAAGTACCACAACAACAATTGTATTATTATTCGTTACATACTCATTTCTTATTTCAGACGAAAACTATTTTTCAAACACCTTCTGCAGTTCTGATGCAATTAGATTCCAGTATTATACAAATTGATGCATATTCTAACTTTTTGTTAATATCTACAAATACACGAACTTATTTATGCAATACTGAAAAAGAACAGTACAAACAAATTGGTAAAAAGCTGAGAGATGGTCCATTTGGAGCTTGTTTTTTAAATACTGCCAGTACTGAATGTCTGGCAACCTGTGACAGGGCTAGCGGTGTTTCAGGTATAAACATATTTACTATAATAGCAGATATGATTTTTAAAAAAGAAGTTGAACAACAGGCTAAAAAAGTGTTTGTACGACCGTTAATTATTATATATTATAGTAGATCATCGAGGGAAGCAGGCTCACAAACGAAGGGTGACTGTTAACGAGGTTTTGCGTCACCTCTTTTGGAGTGATATGCCACATAATCCACACTGAGATATGTAATAGTAGTAGTAAATCATGTTCTGGGGGTCTCTTTATATAAAAAGTGAATAATTGTCTACAAAGCAATGAAGCGAGATAACGTCGTCGGGAATGATTCTGATGTGTAGGATGCTGACACTAGACGATGCTGTGTAAAGCACCAGTATCTCCCAGTTGACGATGTGCGTGCCCTCAGCATGGGGCGAGTAGTTTTTCGATTGGCAGTTTTAAACAAATTTTTGGACCCTGAATCATCAGTTGGGTAATTGACCTCGAGGTATAGGTATTTGCAATAAGCAACTGGATATGTCTCATGGTTAGTAAAGAACGGTTCCGTCTTAAGTCAGGAATTGCTTTAACTTTGGGATTTTGCAGACATATTATACCCTAGCCAGAGATCTAACTTGCTCCTAAGCACCAGCGATCAAAGTCATTTCTGCATCAGCATACGCGTAATCACGGTCATCAAGTCAGTCGTGCTGTAGAGCGCAGATAAATGCATCTCACATTCGTTCATTTTGCAATCTTGGAAAAACTTTTGTAACTTGTCCAGCTATTCCCTATCATTATTACAGTTTAGTACATTTTAGCGGTTTTTTAAAAGCTAAATCCTATACAAATTTAATGGCCAATTTCTTCACAACCCAAACTATAAAGAATTTGTTTTTTGTAGATTGTACTACGAATTTTTATCTTTTCAGGTATATTTAGAACAGTTACAGAAACAGATAATGAATATTTTTCCAGTAGCATAATCAACCCGGATGTAAAAATTTACTGTGCTAGACCTGGGGTCAGACTGTGGGAAGCAGACTTTGGAGCAAACGTTTTAGTTACTCATCAGTTACGAAATTCTTTAAATCAGAAACCTGGAAACTTGACAATAATTGAAGAAAAGGCTGACGCAAGACTGAAATTTGTATATCCTGCTGAAACTAATATTAGTAAAAGTTTTAACTTCAGGACAATTTATTCTTTTTATAAAAGATTTATTGTGGCATATGATAGAGATGGTATATATTTCTTTGACCCCATGAACAGCGATTTATATACTTGGAGTAATATAACTGATATTAAAGATATCAAAATATTCAAAAATTATATTTATCTATGGAGAGAAGATATGAAAATAAGCATACTCACTTTACAACCTTTAGAAGACTTGATTGTCAACACAATATTGAATAAACAGTACTTTTTGTGTTCGGAATTGTGCCTTTCTTATTCAGATGACATCTTAGATATTGCTGAACAATCTAAGAAAATATTTTTTATTCATACATTGAAAAGTAAGTTGCCCGAAATAAATGCTAATGATATGTTACATAAAATTGAACCAATATTAAGCAAACTTGAGGATCTTAAGGAAAAAAATCCTATAAGAAAAACAGAAAATAGTATTACTGTGGTTGAAAACGGAGATTTAGAAGCTGACGACATTCCCGTAGTGGTAAGTCAAAGAGGTGTAACTAGCAAGACTGATACAACGAAATGTAGTGATATTATACATAGTGCAGATAAGACGAGCAAAGCAGTTTTGTCGCTTTATAAACAATATTTGTTGAATAAATCTCATAAAAATGCAGAACTAACAGAAACAAACGAGTTATACGAAAAAGCAGAAATAGACAAAATGATACCCGTTTTTCAAGAATTTGTTCAATTTGTTTGGGAGAAATATAATGAAAACCCGACAAAATGGTGCCAAGAACAAATGTTGAAGCAGGCATATAGGAGAATCAAAGATATCACTAATCTAGCAGAAAATACTATACGTTATTTGAAAGATGCATTCCTCGAGCTTAACAAGGTGGAACACTTGAACTGCAAATGCAGTTTTCCTCTACCAAAAGCACATGAAATGAAACCTACATTTTATGAACTGGGATGCAAATTGTTAGAGTTACTTGAGGAAGAAGATAAACATTTCAGCGACATTGCTTATTTGTACAAATATAAACTTCAGAAAGAAAATGATCTAAATGAGGCCGATCTAACATTACTAGTACAATTTAATGATAGAGAGCTTTATAAAAAGCTGTCTATAAACTTCACATATGATACTTGTGATAAACTGTTAAACCTGTTTATAAAATTAAAGAGAGGAAACTGTTTGAATTGCGGGCTACCTGTTGATGTGAATGATTTGATGTCGTGGACTGAATTGGGACTATTATTGGTTGAATTCGTCGGACCGCAAAACGCATGCAGGCTACTGAAACGATATTCTGATGAGATACCAAATGGTGAATTAGACTCTGGGTTTTACCAGGGTTTTATTTTGGCTGCAGCTTACAAGAAACCTAAAGAGGCATTGAACTTTATGGAGACAGTTGTGGATGATAGTAACAGACAAAAGGTACGTTACGATTGTAAATCTTATTGACATCTTGGAATTAAACGTTAAAATCCTACACAGATGAAGAAAAAGTAGATCAAACATAGCTATAAACTAGCTCAAATAGTTAAGTTTTCTTTCTTTAATTGTGCATATGTACCTAATTTGCTTAGCAATCTGTTGGTCTGCTGCGTATCGATAGTGCCATGACAGTAAAATACCAAGTAGTCATCGGCGAGGGTGGAGCTCTGTGTAAAAGTTGTTCATCAGTTCATGACACATGTGAACCAAGTTTCAAAAACTGTCATGAATCTGCACGCCCTGAACGAAACGGTGGCCAAAGCAATAAATATCCTTTAGTCCAACTGTCATATAAGTCTACCAATGATCGCTGAAGGGTTCTCCATATACAAATTTGCTGCTCACAGAACTGTGCCGGAAGATTTTGACATGAGGAAAATGTGTACAACACTGGTTCTCCGACTCCTCACCGTCGAACAAACGCAACGAGTGGAGATTTCCCTCGAGTGATCAAGACAAGCACTTGCGCAGTAGTTTTTCCAAAGCAAAAGCAGTGCTCTAGTGCGTATCGCTGTTCTAGTATTTCATCCTTAATGTGTCACGAGTTGGTAAACAAACGTTCACGCTAAGCTCCACGGTCGCTACACAAGACCTCCTGTGCTACTGCGGACCGGCTCTATTATTGGCTTAGATCATCCAGCACAATTTTAATCACCGAAGACCACACTGCAAGAGACTGTGACGCCACACGGCGGCCGATCTCATCACATATCAAACACACCCTGTAACAGTTATGTATGAGTTAATGTAGCTTGTCAGCTTGACACTAAAAAAAAATCAAATTTGCGCATAGTACACTTGTTGAAATTTTGGGTGCTGCTAAAAATATTACTAAAATAACACTACTGGAGAACTTCGATTAGCAATTATATAGGGTGTTTCGTTGAGAAGATATTTTAACTGTGGCAGTAACGTGTAAAAATCTAACTCTGAGATAATTGAGTACAAAATTTTGAATTCGTTCGAACTAAATAAATAGTATTATTACGACAACAAAAGTGAATGAATTTTGTAAAGGTACATGACTTTATAGAGAGTCATTTAAATGTGATTTCAGATTATATTTGTTTTTAAGACCTAAAATAAATGGCATTCCGCCTTTCATTGTCGTAAATCAAGAAGCAGTAACATGTGATGGACTGATTTTATACCATGCAAAAACAAATTAACTGTTTTTTTTTCGTGGATTTCAGTCTATCAAACTTATTCTTTCAAAAACTCAGTGATGCAGAATTTCATTTTAATGTATCATATATACAGGGTGTAAAGCTAGTAGTGGATCAACGGAAGTCAGGCGATAGAGGGCCTAAAAACATATCGAATGAACCCTATATGTGTGGTCCGTTTATAGTACAAGAGATATTTGCAATTCCGTGAAATTTCGAAAAAAAAAACGGAATAATAAACTTTAAATCGCAATTACAACTAAACTATTAGGTTTAGGGCTGAGATTTTTTTTTGAGATGAGCTAAATGATTAGTTTTAGCAATGGTTATGTTACTTTTTAACAGAGCTAATTAGAAATCAACGAAAAAAATCTTAAATTCATTTTTTTGTGAAAAATCTCTTTCATCCTTTAGAGGGCTGTAAAAAAATTGAGGTTGTGTTTCATTTTATCGTAAAAAGTCTTTCAATCCATGTAGAATAAACTCTGAAAATTTCAGCTTGCTACGATAGGTGCCTCACCTTAAAAAATCTGCGTTTGACGCAGGTGGGTATATATACATGTAAACAAGAAATTATATTTTACGAGCTACAGTCCAAATGACTTAATACATTTTGACATATGAAGTACTGTTAGATTCGTCCTAGCAGTGCGAGTGATACTCTATGTATTAACATTTTGTAAAATCAAAATGGCGGATTTTTTACGCAAATAGCCAAATCAGCTTAATGAGCTGCCCTAGGAAATACTCGAGCAGCTGCTAGGAGCGCCGAGGATACGCCAAGAAGAAATAGAAGATATAATAGAAGCAGCCTAGAGACATCCCTCTATAAGCACCAGAGCCATTACCCGAAGCAGAAACATATCCCATACTTCCTTGCACACAATACTACGCTCGGAGAACATGCATCCTTACCATGTACAAAAAGTACAAGAATTGCTTCCAAGCGACTATGCACCACGGGTTGAATTTTGTGAGAATATGTTGAGAAGGTGCTAAGAGGATGAAACTTTTTTCGACAGCATCTTATGGACAGATGAATCCAACTTTAACCGAAATGGAATATTCAACATGCACAATTTCCATTTATGGAGCGTGGAAAATCCACACGCTATTCGTCGACACAGCTTTCAACGTCAGTTCGGCGTTAATTTATGGGCTGGAGTACGCAACAAAAAAATTAATTGGACCATATGAATTGCCCTCCAGGTTAAATGGTCAGTCATACCTATCTTGCTTTCCTGCAAAGCAGTTTGCATGAGCTGCTAGAGGATGTACCAGAAAATTAGTGAAGCAAAAATAAAAATGATGGAAAACGCAATTTATTTCAAAGACTAAAGGACAATTTTATTAAAAGGTGTCGATTGTGAATAGAAAATAATGGAGGCCATTTCGAACATGTTCTGTAAAAGTTAGTTATACTAAATTATCTTCCACATTTGTCGGTAAATCGCCATAAAGAGCGGGTAAATACAATAGGTTCTGTACTTGGAGGTGGTAAGGATTCTATTGCGCTTCTTACGTTTATCGCATCACAACAACGAATGTGACATGATACACTCATCGTAGCAAGCTGAAATTTTCAGGGTTTATTTTTTACTGCTCACCAAAGTTGAGGGATGGAAGTGATTTTTCACCAAAAAAATTAATTTAATATTTTTTGCATTGATTTCTAATAAGCTCTAATAAAAAGTGGCATAACCATTGATAAAACTAACCATTTAGCTCGTCTCAGAAAATAAATCGCAGCCCTACACCTAATGGTTTAGTTATAATTTGCGATTGAAAGTTCATTATCCCGTTTTTTTCGAAATTTCACAAAATTGCAAATATCTCCTGAACTATAAAATTTCGGACCACACATATAGGGGTTCATTCGATAGGTTTCGATACCCTCTATCACCTGACTTCCGTTGATCCACTTTACACCCTATGTATATATATATATATATATATATACAGGGTGCGCCATCTTTTATGTCGGTATGTAAACATGAAATAACTTTGAAAACGAAAAACTGATTTCTATATATCGGGTACTTTTATTAAACATGGGCCTATACAATTTATTGGGACTAGTTTTTCTATCAAGTGGCCACCTTTATTGACCAAAACAATGTGTCCGTTATGCTGCGTTTTCCATTACTTTTTCGAGCATCTCTGGTGGTATAGCGGCGATTGCGGTACGAATGTTTGCCTTGAGTTCTTCAGTGGTCTGGGGTTTGCTGGCGTACACTTGACTTTTCAAATCTGGAGACCTGGGTGGAGAGTCAATGTCACCTCTTTTTGACATCAGACGTCCAGGGCATTTTCGTTGCAGAAACTGGATTGTTTCATTTGCAGTGTGGCATGGCGCACCGTCAAGACCTTTTTCAACCAACATCCACCGATATCGATTTCCATCGACTGTTTCGTTTTCGTTGAAGAAAAATCGCTCAATGATGGTTTTGGCGCAAACACCGACCCAAACAGTCACTCTCCGGTCATGCAACGGCATTTCGTAGATCTCATGTGGATTTTCCGTCCTCCAAATGCGGCAGTTTTGCTTATTAACACCGCCAGAGAGCGTGAAATGGGTGAAACAAATGCAAATCATCCTTCAAAATGCGCCGCAATGTGGTTCCACTGATGCCAAAATCCTCAGCGCGGTGACGATACGACACTTTTGGGTTCTGGGCAACGCTGTCTCTGACCGCTTCAACCAATTCATTGGAACGTCTTGGTCGTTGATGAACGGTATGTTAACGATCTCCCACTGTCCCGTACTAAAGAAAATTCGAAACCACACTACGGATAGTGTTGTCAGACGGTGCCTGTTCGACGATATGCACGTTGCGCTAACACAACTGAACGACGATTTTCGATGTTCACTGTGACTATTTCGGCGCGTTGTTTCATGACTAAAATTGTAGTAAATTGACGTTTCAGAAACACGTATAACCAAATGACTCGGTTGGTAAATATCAAAGTCATTCGATGTCTCAATATCGACATAACATATGGCGCACCCGGTATATATATATATATATATACAGGGTGGCCCATCCATGTGTGGACGGAATATTACACATAAACAAATACAATTTGGGAAAATGTATTTATGGCATGTTATACATGACATTTGAGGGCACATTTCTAAAATATTGGCACTTATACAGGGTATCCCAATTTTGACCTACATATTAAAGTTGCTATTTTTTAAATGGAATGCCTCAAATTTGATTGCATATTTGGATAAACCAATTCAAAAGAAGATTTATATAACATACTAGGGGGTTTTGGTAATTAGCTACTGAGATGTCCAGAAAAAAAGGCCACTTCGGCAACCCCTCAATCCGCCATTTTGAAATTTGCAGTGCTGAATTTTGTGCCAAAAAAAACTTACACACCTCAGCTTTTATCTTATTTATTACTTTTTCTAATTTTCATCTTTACTGATACAGGGTGGTCAAAAACGCGAATTGTAGATTTTCTCAAAAATTTCAAATGCATCACCCTGTATATTTGTGCAAGTTTGGAATCAATTTTTTTTATAAGCTTTTTTTGATATCAGGTTTGATTCAGATAAAATCTCTAGATTTTGAGTTATTAAGCTTTTAATAGAACAACACACCAAAATTAAGGAAAAAATCACATCATCCATGGAAACAAAAGACAAATAGTGGGCTAGTTCCATATTGCCTAAGAGTACAGATTTGATGTAAAATCTAATAACAATCAGAAGAGTATAAATCAGCTTCAGGCGTAATAGAGAAAAACAACTATAACAACAAC